TCCCCACAGGGGCAGAGATCCCAGCAAGGGGCTTCATAGGGAAAGGGCCATCCCAAAAACAGCCCCGCCAGTGTCATCGAGCAGAGAGCCAACACCCAAACGCCGTCGGCTCTCGCTGATATCCCTGTTACAGCTCCAGCCCGAAGCGTGCCAGGGATGCCTGAGAGCACTGATGGGAAGGGACCCCGGGACCCCCCAGCTGTGTCCCCCCAGGCGATGCTCACCGCAGGCTGGAGTCTGGCAGTAGGTGGAAGGCACCCACAGGTTGGCGGAGCCGGTGTCAAAAAGCACCAGGAAATTTTGCGGGGGGGTCCCAATGCTGATCTCCCCGAAGTAGAAGGTCTGTGAACAAGAGCGTGGGTGCATTTCTGTTTCTGCCTGGTTTTTTGGATGAGAGTTTTCAGCTCTCTGCCGTCTGTGAGCTGAGAATGCCCAACTGCTGAGGGGCTGTCGGAAGGGCTCGTTCCACGAGTGCATCCAGGGCAGGTAAAGCACAGAGAGGGGCAATGATTTGCCTACGACACAATCAGCAGCAAGGCCACGAGTAGCAGATCTGCCCCCTAACCATCAAACCCTGATTTTCTGAGAAGGGAAATTGGTTCTGGATAAAACGTGCCGCCTCCAGCCTTCGTCTCCCAACATCACCCAGCCCTCGGATCCAGGCTACAAAGCCAGCCCAACCCCTGCCCATGCCCAGCACAGCCCCTTGGCTCGTGAGCAGGGAGGGAGCTGAGGCACACACTGCAGAGCTTCCCCCAGGCAGGAAAGGAAGAGGGCATCCCCAAAAACCAGAGCTGGGTGGCTCAAAGGTGGTAGTAAAAGCGTTAATACTTACATCCAGGTAGTTCGTTAGCGGTTCATAAGCTACAGCATTGCTGAGCAGGTATTTCCTACCGGGGTCCCCTTTGAGATCCCTCAGGAAACCCTCCGGCACCCCATTCTCTCTCATCCACTCCCTCACGGACCTGCCTTTCCTCAGGGGGACCCTGTGCGGGATGGAGACGGCAGCGAGATGCCGAGTGACTGTGCACCCTCCCGTGCCAGCCCCGCTCCGCAGCCGGACCCTGCACCCTCGCACCCATTCCGGCAGCAGGACTCACCTCACCGTCCCCTCCCCGAGCGGGAGGCAGAGCAGGCCCAGCACCAGCCACCACACGGCCCCGGGTGCTGGTGGCTCCATGGTGGCTCCCGCGCTACGCCGGTCGGGGCAGGGTGTATATAGCCAGGAGCCCAGCCCCTGGCTCCAGACACCCCTTGCCGCTATCGCTGCACCCACCAACGCTTGCGGTGTGGTTATCACCACGGACGCCCTGATTTTGCTTCCTTACCAGGCTGTTCAGGCACTAACAGATTGGCCAGTGCCACTGATAAGAAGACCAAATATGTCATATCCAACAAATAGCAAAATTCTGTTGTTATCAAGAAACATTTTCACTTGCCTTCAGCACCAGCTCGAGCTTCCCAGAAAACAAAAGCAGAACCCACCCTTTAAAGCAAATGGGAATTCATGATGCTGGCGTTCCTCTCTGACCTCTCCAGGCAGCCACGGAAGTGCCCTGGGCCAGCAGTATTTCTTCCATCCAAGCCCACAGACTCTTACATCCAATTCCCCCAACACAGCTAGCAGGAAACAGCAGGGGTGGCTTTCCAAGCCTCCTGGGAACCAGCACATACCCCCCAAAATGCCTCTTTCCAGGCATCTGTCCTTTTGTCACCCTGCCCCTTCTCCCCTCCACCTCTGCTAATACCCTCCCAAAGAAGCTGAGGTGGGGGCTGGGAAACTGCTCGGTAGAGCAGCCCCGAAAGACATAACAGGCCTTTACCTGCCCAGATACCACCACTCAGCCACCCCAAGAAGACTCTCTGATCTGCTGCAGTTCGTTATCCGTGTCAGCGTCTCCCGAGCGTGCTCAGGTCACACGTCTGGCGCGTTAGGGATGCTGCCTGCCGTACGCTTTGAGTGACACTGCTCGTACCCAGGCTGGAGAGATGCAGGGGAGCGTGTATTTACACACTCAATCACAGGGGATTTTTAGTCCCGGGAGATCTTTTCTTCCCCTGGGAAGGCGCTATCGGCCCTGTCAGTCCCTGAGGATCCATCCTGGCATCTGCTACGCCGAGGATGCTGCTCAGCCTCGTCCTCTGAAGCCTGGGCACTTACCACCTGCAGGAACTCTGCCATGGGCTGCCAGGGAACAGTGTTTGTCCCCACATCCCCATCACACCGGCGGCCTCATCTGCGCTGGCCAGTGGCCTCATCTCCCATGGAAAACCTGAGAAGACAAACATGGGGGGTTTTCTGTGCAAAGCTCCCAGCAAAGGAGCCCCAGCTGGCTCTGTTCTTATTGCACTGGACTAAAATCCTTGTCCAGGCCAGAGCTGATCCCACAGGGATCACCAGCACCCAGGGAGTGGGCAGGAGAGGGGCCAGCACTGCTCTCCCCAGGGTCGGGCAGGAGCAGCCCCGCTGTCCTTTGCCATAGGGCACTTGCAGACACCCCAGTCCCTGGTAGGGGTGGACCCCAGCAGGGCCTTGGGACTCCCGACCTCAGGAAATCCCCCAGTGCCCCTTCCTCCTCCATCGCATCCTGATGAATCTGCCTCTGCTTGGAGGGGTCGTGCAGGGAGCAAAGGGAAGAGCGAAGAGCAGCAGGGACATGGTCAGCCTTCGCCTGTCCCTGCCACCGCTGGTGCCTGAGCAGCTCCAGCCCTCAGAAACCTCCCCGTTTTACAGGGGAGGGGAAGTGCCCTTCCTTGCGATCCACGCCTTCCTAATCTCGTCTCACTGCGCTCAGCCTGTGTCAATATTTTGACACAAAGCATAGAGGAGTTTGTGTCCTTTCTCTGGTGAAATGACAGAGCTGTTAATATATCTGATAACGAGCTCCGCTGATAAAGAGCTAAGAAATGAGTTTGGATCCCGGGAAAGAACGGTGTTACCCGAGCCACCCCCAACCGAGCTGTTCCCCATCCCCTTTGGCCACACACCACTATTCCCAATGCTCCAGCTGCTGTTTTACCTGACTGAATAGCCTCGCTGCAGGATTTGGAGGTCATTTGGATGTCATGGCTAAACTAATCTGGCCTCATATTCCCACTTGGACTTGATCACAGGACTTTGTTAAACCTCATCCAGCTGCAAGGAAGATTAGTGGCTTCCCACGTGTACTTCTGGTGAGGTTTCCCGATGCCCAGCAAGAGGGACGGAAGTGGGGATCGACCATCCCCACGGCTTTATCCTCAGCCGGCCGGAGTGATCGGTTCAGCCCTGCAAGTGCCAGCAGCAGCAAGAGACAGGACAGCGTGTCCCTGCAGTCACTCCAAGGTCACCATGAACTGCAAGCACAGCAATGTCCACCGCGACCAGCTAACTCCACGTTTGCCGGAGTCGGTGCTGGTAAGCATCGCCCTGCAGCGACAGGGCACAGCAGGGCTGGAGGAGGACGGAGCCATCCTGCCCTGCTAGGGACTCACGCCCTTTCCAGACACACACCATGCCTGGTGGTGCAGAGCAGAGCTGGCTTTCTGGGGAATCCCTCCGGGAACTCCTGTCCCTGGGGCTGTGGTTGGTGTTTAAGACCAACCCCAGAGACCTTTCGGTGTCCTGATCCCCTGCACTGCAGCGCACCGTGCATCTCACTTGCAAGGCAAAGCCCTTGCAGGAATCGGGATCAGGACACTCATTCTGGGCTTGTCGCTCACTGAGGACAAGGGGGGCAGAAGTGGGGTGCAGCCAGGCCCAAAGGCAGCAGCTGGGATGTGGGGGACGGCACCTGCCTGTTTGCCAACGCACGAAATGTGCAGCCCCCAGCCGAGTCGCACAAGCCCCGCCGAGGGGACGGGGCTGGGCTGCCGGACACCTTCACTCCCAAGGGCCGGGCAGCCCCCGGCACCCGCATGGGGCAGGACCAGTGGCTCCCGTCCCTGTGCCCATGGGCTGAGCTGCAGCTCAGAGCCTGCTGCATTCAGCAGTGCCACCCCCAAGCCCAGTCTCGCTATAGATACTGACACTGATGCTGACACTTCCGTCCCAAAGCCCTTTGTAAGAAACCTAAATACATCGATTTCCTGCAGTGCCACCCCCAAGCCCAGTCTGGCTAGAGATAAAGGCTGACACTTCCATCCCACAGCCACGACAGCGCATCAAACCCGTTTGTAAGAAACCTAAATACATCAATTTCTGGCTTGAAGCAGCCCAGGGACAGCTTCCCCAACGCTTTCCTCGTGCTGACTCTGTGGAAATCTGCCTAGGAGTTTATCACAGCGCCTACTTTCCCAAAGGAAGAGTGTCCGAGACACGCACCCCATCAGTCTGCGCTCAGCCATCACTCAGCGAACTCAAAAGGTCAGGGACGATTTGGGATGTTGGGGTTTATTTGTAACAGGAGACTGTGAGAACTCGGAAATCCCGGAGGGACAGGGCGGCACGTAAAGAAATATAAAGGTCCGTAGGAACACTCTAGCACACCGGCAGTGCTGGGCGAGGTGCGTTTGGCCAGGAGAGGGTCTGGATGTGGCGGCTCCACTCCTCTACGCTGACGGGGCGAAGCCGACACGGTTGTTGGCCATGTCGAAGACGGTGTAATACTCCTTGAGGAAGACGTCGCCCAAGATCCAGAGCGGCTGGTTGTTCTGGGAAGGCAGGTAGGTAGCCTCAATCCCGAGAGTGCAGTAGCCGTTGTTCTGTGAAGGGGGAATAACAGGGAGTCAGAGCCCCAAACAAGCACCAGGACGCTGCCAGCTGGGCTGCAGGGAGGTGGGATCTGCCCAGAAAGCATTGCTGCTTGTCAAGGAGCAGCAGGTCCTTTCCTGGTCCTTGAGCACCCAGTGGGGGTGAAGCTGCTGAGCTAATACGTACGTTCAAGACGTAGGCGGAGGGGTCGAGCGGGAGCTGAGTTCCGTTGATGACGAAGGTGATGGTGGGCATGTCCTGCACCTTGTTGCAGTCAACTGCATACTGCGGAGAGAGGGTGAAGGTTACAGCTGGGACAGCAGCCACCGTGAGAGGAGGGAGACCCCCGAATGCGAGGGAAGCACACACTTTGTCCCCTGGCAGTGCCACGTCACCTCGTCCTTCCCTGACATGCCTGCGGTACCATCTTCTGGAGATGCCACGTGAGTTTTGTGGGACCCATGTGAGTTTTGTGGGACCCACGTGAGTTTTGTGGGACCCACATGAGTTTTGTGGGTCAAGCCCACGGCTTCTGGCTGGCACGCAAGCCTCCTGGCACGCAAGCCTCCCCGCTGCTCCGTGCGCACCTCCAAAGCGTCCCCCGCACTTACACCGTAGCTGGTCAGCTGGGCGCCCACGGCCTGAAGGAAGCTGTTCATCAGGGGGGCCGGCACCCCCTGGCTCCCCCAGCCGGTCGCTGACTGTCCAATGGCAAACCTGGGAGGAGAACAGGGAGAAGGACGTCACTTTAAACACCTAAACTAAAGCAACAGGCAACTAAACAGGCAACTAAACCTGTCTTGGCTGGATCTATGAGTCTGGAATGCTCTGAGATGCCTCAAACCCACGTTTCCTTCATCTGGAGGGCAGCTGTACCACCCTTGTTACACGAACTGCCCAGTAGATCGTGTCCATCGGGCACAAACACAACTCACTCGTTAAGCGCGACCTGCCAGTAAAGCTCCTGGGTCACCGGTGCCCACGAAATGTCCCCATGGAAGAACAGAGTGTCAATTCCTCCCAGAATGAGCTCTCCCCCATAGTTGTAGGTGGGTTGGCTGCAAAAACACAGTTACAGGAGCAGAGATTGGTAAATTGGTGTGATACGCATGAGCTAGCGAGGGACAAAGCCACAGGGAACCTGCATGGGGACAGGCAGAGGGACACCGGTGTACACAGGACGTGCAGATCTTCACCGGGAGAAGTAGAAGCTGAAGATGGGCTGGGTGAGCTGGTTCTGCTGCAGCATGCCCTGCAGCACAGTGGTCATCCCTCCTGCCGCCAGCGAGGGGTAGGCCATTCCCAGGATCCCGTCAAACTCGGCGTAGTAGAAAGGCTGGGTTGGCTCCTTCTTGCTGAGCCCGAACTCCTGGTGTGTGACGGCGATGCTGTCGATCTGCAGCGGGAGAGGAGGCCAGGTCAGGCTGCATGCTTAGGCAAAGCCGAGCAGCCGTCGGCTGGGATGCCTGATGCTCCAAAAGCCCAAAGAGCTGACTTCAGGGTCAGAGCTGGTGAAAACATCACGAGGCAGCTGGGAAAATTAGCAGGAATTGTGATAGAACAAAGTAAAAACCCAACTGGGTAACTAATAGTGACAATTATATGGGTTCTGCCCATCCCAGGCTTTGGGTTGCCCAAGTCCTGTCTACATGAGACATGAGATCTGCCCTTCAGCTGTCCCCCAGGCTCCTTCCATCAGGTGATCCAGCTGATGCCGGCACACAGCACCCAGGAAGACCAGGAGGGCAAAGGGTGCACTCACCCTCAGCGT